CTAATAGAAAAATTTTCAATTCACCAGCAGAACAGATTAAAATATAAGACACAACTATTTGTTTCCACCAAGATGTAACTTACTTATAAAGACATATAAAGTTAAAGGCTAGAAATCAATGAATAAAGCAAATGGAAGCTCAAAACAAGCTGGTATTGCTATTCTGCTTCCTGATAAGGTAATCTTTAAGTGAAAATTATTCAGATTTAAGGAGGGCTATATCGTGGTTTAATAAGGATCAGGATAAACAATTAGGCCGAACAGATGTTTATTCAGGGAGAAATAACTCACAACATAGACAGGTGAACATCAACAGGTTCCTGCTTCCAAGAATTCCTTCAGAAGTCCTCCTGTCCCAGAGTGGATAACAAGAGAGAACTCTCCTGCACCTCCTATGACCTAGTTCCCCAGGTAACTTTCACCCCTGGCTCCACCCCCTAATGGGTGTGGTCAGCGCCACAGAAGGAGACAAAGTGAATATCCCACTACAATTCCCCTTTTAGTCTAAAGAAAAGATTTAGTCTTTATACAAAACAGTGAATAACAAGGGTGCTCTAAGAAAAGGAAAATCGAGAACAAAATGACCTACATATCTAGTCTTAGGGTGAAGGCATAACGGAGTTTACAATAGAGTTGTCCTAAGCTGGAAAACTTAAGTCTAGTACCTAATATATCTAACCATAAAGAGAGAATAATATTTGTGATAGCTTAATCTCCAACCTCATCAAGACCTGAGACGGAAAATAACAATACTAGGGTAGACAGGAACTGGTAAAGTACGTTGTCATGGGGGATTCTAAGAAGATGCAGAAATCCTGGCTGTAGTCTGTAAGGCTGCATTGTTCAGCTGTTTTGAATGTAGGATCACCTGGTACTCTGTTTCAGGGGGTGTGGCTTGCTCAAACCACATAAGTCTGGAAGGAATCCACATTTTTTCATTTTCTGTGGAAACAAAAATAGAAATCCTTTTCCCCAGTAACTTGTCCTTGAACTTAAATTTTGGAGTCAAATCATTTTTAAAATATATAAATTGAATTAATCTAGCAGTATTTGTTTTAACAGTTGTTATTTCCTCAGCAGTCAAACGATACAAAGACAATATAATACCATACAGTATCCAGATTCTCTCCATCTTTATGTGGCTTTCTTTTTATTACTCTGTTTAATTTACTTTTTACTTTTTCATTTTTTGAGACAGCGTTTCTCTGTGTAACTTTTATCTGTCCTGGAATTTACTCTGCATACCAGGTTTACTTTGAAATCACAAGAGTTCTGCTTGCCTCTGTCTTTCTTGAGTGGTAGAATTAAAGGCGTGTGCCACCACACCCAGTACCTCTATGTCTTTTTAAAACCATTTTATTTATTTTCTCTCCCAATCCTACATATATTTTAGAACACACTGTAAACCTTTAGAGGTTTTTTAATGTGAATCGGTCTGTAAATCTTTAACTTTTTATGGCCATGAGTCTTTTATCTGATAAACAACAACACTGCTAAAACGAAAGTCATAGTTGTTTCTGCTGCAGTTTACCAAAGATGGCAGCAGGTATCTTTATCACCCACTCTCCAGTAAGGAGACCACGTGAAAACACATAGATCAACAGAAATGGGTTAATACTTAAGACAGAGCCAGAGCTAGCCGATGAGAAACTAGTACGTGGCCAACAGCATTATATCAAATATAGAGTCTCTTGTATGTTAATTGGGGCTGGCGCAGTGGCAGGACCAGACCAGCGGCAGGAGGAAAAACCTTACTCCTTACAGGGCTACTACATGATATTTTTGAAATTAAAATGCAGTAAACTTTCTTATAAATTGTATTTTTAAAAAAATAGATAGTATTTTTTAAAAATACCATTAATTAAGAAGACATAATAATTTTAAATATATACACACAGGACACTGGAATCCTAGATTTCATAAAATAAACACTAATAAGCATAAATAGTCACATAGGTCCTGAAATACTAATATTGGGTATGTGTTCATTTTATAAAAATACCCAAAGTAAACATCAAAAAGATCTTAAATGGTAAATTACAAAGTGGTTCAAATACATTTTACAGATGCCTATAGAATATTCCAGCCAAAAAAAAAAAACAAAACACAAACCCCATCTTTTTCAGAGTCTCATGGAGCTTTCTATAAAAGTGAACAAATTCTAGGATACAAAAACAGCTTAAAGAAACACAAAAGCACTGAAAGAATTGATACTATCTCATTAGCTAACATAGAAGCTACACAATTACATACACACTAAGCCAACACACTCTTGAATTAACAGGTTATTTAAAATAAAAATCAGGAAGGGACTTAAGTATCTTAACAATGAATGAAAATATCATGGCAGATATTAATGGACTACGAAAACAACTCAATATAGTAATTTGAACAGCTAAAGAACAAACCAAACAACAACAACAAAAAAACAAATTAAAAAAAAAATCTCAGCATGGAAGCTGTAGTGTGGTCCAATGAGTCATACCCTTTAGACCATACATCTAGACTTGTAATTTAAGTCATTGGTCTGGTCCAAAGCCTCTGGCTTTTACTATACTATTGATACTGGGCCCTCGCTAGGATTCCTCCTGGATATCTTATTATTCCCTTCATAAATATGCATTTTAAAAGAAAAATAAAACTGAAGAGAAGATGAAAAGACCTCCCATGTATATGGAATGGCAAAATTCATATTGTAAAAATAGCTAGTTCAACACATTTCACCTGAAAGTCTCAATTACATTCTGAGAAATATTTAAAAAGTACAAAAGTTCACAGGAAAGCAAAAGCAATCCAAAACAGACAAAACAATTTTGTTTTATGTACTTTTAAAATCTCACAGTGTACTGTCCATCATGAAGGGAAGTCAGAGTAAGAACCTGGAGGGAGAAGCTGAAGCAGAGACCAAGTAGGAATTCTGCTTACTGGTGTATTCAGCCTCTTTATAAAACTCAGGACCACCTGCCCATGTGTGTCCCCACCCACCACCACTTCAATTGTTAATCAAGAAAATGCCTAGTAGTCTTGCCTACACATGATAATCTGATTTGGACATTTTCTCAATTGCTGTTTTTCATTCTACCACAATACCCTGAGCCATTACAGGTCTAAAGAGAAATCTGGCACTAGGGAAATGTCCAGAGTTCTACAAGGAAGACCCCAAGTAATAATCTAAGCAATAGTGGAGAGGCTACCTTAAATGCCCTTCACAGATAGTGAAATTGATGACTACCTTGTATGCCATCCTAGAGCCTTCATCCAGTAGCTGCTGGAAGCAGAAGCAGAGACCCACAGCTAAATACTGAGCTAAACTTCTGGAATCCAATTGTAGAAAGGGGGGAGTAATGAGCAAAGGGGTCAAGACCAGACTGGAGAAACCACAGAAACCACTGAACTGAACAAGTGGGAGTTCATGGAGCTCAGACTGATAGCTAGGAAACAAACCAGCATAGTACCGACCCAGACACCCTGAATGTAGGTATCAGCTTGGAGGACTGGGCATTCTATGGGGCCTCTGGTAGTGGATCAATATTTATTCCTAGTGTATGAATAGACTTTGGGAGCCCATTCTCTATAAAGGAATACTCTCTCAGCATAGAGACACTAGGAAGGGCCAAGGTCATGCTCCAACTGATGTGACAGACTTTGAATATCCCCCATGGAAGGTCTCACCCTCCCTGGGGAGCAGAAAGGGGATGAGATGAGAAGTCAGTGGGAGGCAGGGGAGGATGGGAGGGAGAGAGAACTGGGATTGACATATAAAACAAGATTATTTCTAATTTAAATAAAAATTGTAGTTAAAAAAATAAAATTCATGAGTACCGTTTGTTTCATTAGAGCATGGTTATTAGCAAAAACAAAAAAACAAAACAAAACTCATGTGTGTCAAGTTGACAAAAAATAACCAGCACGCAATCTGATGGTCTATGGACAGAAAGATCCAGAGAGACAGACTGTCACAAAACTAAAAAGGAAACTATAAGAAGAAAGGAAATAATCTGATGAGGAGCCTCAGAGGAGTTAACAAAAATAGCTGTAAATACACGTGACATGAACACAGAAAGGGATCACTGATGAGAAGGGGATCTGTCAGAAGAGCATTAGTAGGGTGGGGGAAGGAAATGAATAAGAATAAGGTGTAATGGCATCCATACATACACAAAAAGGCAAAAATGAAGCCATTATTAGTTCATGTGGTTACCTAATTAAATAAATGTATGAAATTTTAAGTATAACAAATGTTACATTTTACAATATGAACAAATGGGAAAACACTATACATTATTTACAGATCGAGTGCTACTTTGTTTTCTAGCACTCTGGAAAATACTGTACTTAATATCTACGAGAAGACAGAATGTCCACTTATCCTTTCTCTTCTGAGTCAAAATGAGTAATAATATAGGTGACACACTTAAGACCTGCTTTCAAGTGACATATGAATTAAGATTTATGTTAGGCATCAAATAGTTTTCCCTTTACCTCTTTTTTTATTAATGCATTTAAAAGAAAAATATTCTAGACAGTTTTCCAAACTAATACTTTTATAAGTTTGAATTTTGATATCCTTTAATAAAACCATAAATTCAAATGTACTGACTAAATTTTAACAATAAAACATGAAGCCTAAAATACAGTAAATGTGGTATATTCTTCCAGACCACATACTCATATAAGAAAAGGTACATGTGGGGTTTTATTTTAAGATCTAGCTCACTCCTGATAAAAAAATTTAAAAGATGCTTTTGGTTTACGCATAAATGTCAACTATCCTTATTTCAAAAAATATAGTAAGAAACCCTGTATTTTATGTGTTTTGCATACTATTGGTTAAAAATGAAAATAATTCCAGTACTTTTTCTATGTTAAGAAATTTCACATGATACATACATACATATACATACATACATACATACATATATATATATATATATATAAAAGCACACCCATAAATATACAGACATATATGTGTGTTAAATGCTACCAGGGTGAAAACTTACGAATCAACATGCAGAACCCTCTGGCCACTCCTTGAACATGCAGCCGCAATGATGGATTCAGGCAAACCTATAAAAACACATACCTAGATCATTTAGAATGTAAGTATATATGAATTTTATAGAAAATGTTCAATTCATGCTATTGCTGCATAAAATATTTTTATTAAAGAAAATTTATAGTTTTTAAAATTATAAAGAGAGATATTTCTTAAACATATAAAACTAATGCTGGGTTTTTTTGGGTAGAAGATACTTGTTTTAAAAAGATAAGTCCTCAGCTTCTTTTGCAAATTATCATAAATGGACAACTGTTTAAAAACAAATAGGCCTTTGTTACTGAGGAACCAGGTTAGCAAACAAGCTTATCTGATCGTCACAAAGGCACTGAGATAAGAGTCTGCACCTGTGAGACAACAAAGAAACTGCTGCTCAAGGATGTAAATTTACTGCTAATAAAAAGATCCAGAGTTGAAATTTCAGATCTAATTCCAACGCCACAAAACCTCTATGTACAAATGGAATACATTTTTATGTTAAAAATTATGGTAATTAATCACCTTGCTTATTGGTCACTATAGCACATTGGAAAGGAAATAGTATTGCTTTGGAATCAAATGTAGGCATACTAAAGCTTACCTTCATAAAAGGAAATATAAATTACTAATAAGAACACAAATTTTAATTAACAACCTCAATTATGTTATCATAAAGGTCAAGTTTTTCTACTACATCACTAATATGTTAGATAAGTTCAAGACTCTTCCACAATTTTTATTGTCAGATCTTCCATTTCACTAGAGGTCATTAGGTCCTAAATTTTCATTCGTACAGATAAAGCATATTGAAAGTTTAGAACAATCCTCTGGAATGAGCACCACTAGCACTATGAGAAATCCTGGTTGTTTTGCATTCTTTGATGACCATTTAAAATACTAAGAATCAAAAATTACAAACAAAAAAACAAAAAAAAAAAAAAAAAAAAAAAAAAAACAAGTAAAGGTTAATTGTCCTCTGTGATACAGTACTCCGAAGATGGCTCAGTGACTAAAGGTGCCTACTGCTAAGACCTGAGTTTGACCTCCAGAGCCCACACAGAGAATAAGAAAATCAATTCCACAAAACTATCCTGTGACCTTCCTCCATATGCTCAGCAAACACACACACACACACAGTTAAAAATCTATTTTAAAGTAATACACAGGAAAGCAAATGACATAATCAGTGTTCAGCTAAAATCCACATTAAACACAAGAGCCAACTGTCTTCATGAAGAACTATTTTTCCAGTATTGAACAATTTGTGGGTTTATAATGTCTGGTTAAAAACAGAAGTTGTGTCCAAATGTACAGAATATAACCATTAAATATCAATTATTGGAACCAAGCCATCATAAAGTTTTATTTTTGGATATAAGTGTAGAAGAAAGATTAGAGGGAAATGGGAGTTTCAAATAAATACACATACTATGTTTTTCATCTAAAACTATTACTCTAATGTGTACTATGATGATCTGAACTTTTTGCTATACCTAAATAATGTCCCTTGCTAAAGAAATGTAATGAATATCCTTTTAAATGTTGATAAGCCAAGAAATACTACAAAATAGAAATGTTAACAAGTTTTCTACAAAACGACAGCATTAATATGGCACATACATAGTTTTATGCTTTGTAGCATGTAAACACATATCATACCATTCTCATTATCATCGTGGACAATACTATATAAAAGGGGAAACAAGCCACAAAGGAGTTTTGTAACTCCAGTAATTCATTTTTGGAGAACTAGATTGAAGGGCAATATAGGTAACTTAATAAAATGAGTTAAGTCTGAATCACTGAGACCTGGACTTGACTCTCTGTTCCACTGGTTCCCTAGCTATGTAACTTTAGACAAGTCACACTTTCTGTACCTCTTTTTCCTTCTGTCAATGGCAATCTTCATCACCTACTTCATAAAATTCTCTAGTTATTAGAAGTCTATCTGTGCTGAGAATAATTTTTAATCATTTTTTTAGATTATAATAACTGAATCATTCCCCCCTTCCCTTTCCTCCCTCCAAAGCCTTCCATATATCGCCTCATTGAACTCTTTCAAATTAGTGGCTTCTTTTTTAATTGATATTATACTTACATATATATTCATAAATATTCCTAAATACACAAATACAACCTGGAAGACAATTCTTAGCATGCTTGAGTTTAGTTTAGAAGCACCAGCATTTCATTCAATATCACACTAACATATGTCTTTGCACAAATGCCAACACCAACTGCAGACAATATCACTCTCCTCTATTTTACCCCAATTAGCTATTCTTTTGGGTAGGGAGATATGTGTGGTAATTTCTATGCCTGTAATCAACAGTCAGAAGTCAAGTCTCTGCTGGCAATGCAAAGCCAAAAATGGTTTTCAATGTGGAATATGATCTGAGTCCAAATTACATAAAACCCAAATAACTATTATTTGAAATTTTTCTTAATACTTGCATCCAGATATCACCACAAGTTTGTGAAATCAACACGCAGGCTGTTCCAATGTTAAATGTTAAGGGCCCATTATCTTCATGCTTAGAATTATTAAAATAACAATCTATGAATTCAGTTAGTAATGTCTTTGTGGCCAAGGTTACATTTTTTTGTCCCACCCAGTCAATAAATGATTTCTAAAGAAAGGACACAGCAAAGAAAAAAGTTAAGAAGATAGTTATTATGTTAAATAATTTTACTGCAATAAAACAAATTTTTACAAATGAGTAGTTGGAGCTAAATTAGGAAGTCTGGATGTCATTCTTTGAGTAAAAAAGTTTGAAAAGGATTTCGGTGTTTCAGTGTGAATTAACTTTTTAAAATACTTCAACTTGGAGATGGAGAGATAGCTCAGTGGTTAAGGACACTTGTTTTGCAGAGGCCCCAGGTTCAGTTCCCAGCACCCACATGGTAGCTCACAAACACCTATCTCCAACTCCAAGGAATCTGATGCTCTCTTCTGATCTTCTCAGGCATCAGGCATACAGTTGGTAGATGTGTATGTATACAGGTATAATGTTCGTATGAATAAAATAAAATAAATAAATCCAAAAAAAAAATACCCAGAGTTGCAGGAGAGAATAAAGTTTCATTAAAAAGAAGCTTTGAGTTTTAAAAGATATAGGAAAAGAGACTGATTAAATTTTGTTCTCAATCACTGAATAAAGTAACTGCTTGTTTAAAAAGGAGTAGGGAAAAACATGTGCCATGATGCACACGTGAAGGTCAGAGGACAATGTGCAGGAGTCAGTTCTCTTTTTCCAACTTTGTGGGGCCCGGGGATCAAACTCAGGTTAACAGGCCTAACAGCAGGCATCCTTATCCACTGAGCTATCTCACCAGCCCTTTTGTTGTTCTTATTTTGGTAAAATATTAATCTATATGTGTATATGTGTGTGTTCAACTTTAATATCACTTAAAAACTTTAATTTTGTACTAAAATCTCTTCGAACACTTAGAAAAATAGTACAGAATCATTACTCAAATTCACAATCCTTGGGAGTCTTTATCTAGAACACATATAGGCTTTAATAAATTATAAGATCTCCCTAGGAAGAAAAGCCAGATGCCTTAGAAGCAGAATTTCTTCTGCAAAGTAGATGACTCTCTGAAACATTATGCTAAGTGAAATATACCAGCCCAACTACTCACGAACCACCTTATTTTTTTTTTAACTCCCCTCTCCTTTACCCTTTGTGAGGAGTAACTTTAGGTTTGTTGGATAACCTTAAAGGCCTAGGTAATGGCTAATGTTGGATCAAGGACAAATCACAAAATGTTTCACTGGAAGCTCTATGAAATGTGTGAGCACAAATATGCAAGTACAATGTGTTCACTGTTCAGTCTGAGGAAGAACAGGAAAAAAATGATATGACACACCTTATAATACAGCTATGTGGAAAACGTTCTCTTCCTCTATTTCTTGAATTAAGATTAGCTCTCTGAGGGTTTAAAATACTTACCACTTGCTTACCACTGATTTATCTTTCAAAAGCATGTTTAAAGTTCATTTTTAAGCAGTCTGCAGCCTGAGACTATAGTGCCAGAACACATTGCCTTTGCAGCTGAAGATGGAAAAAGGGATGAGCATTCCACCAGCACTGTAGTATATGAAAGAGTTGGGTATACTCTTTTTTTTTTAATTCTTGAATTACTTTTTTTATTTGTGTATTCTTATTTTCCATATCGATCCCAGTTCCCTCTCCTCCCCTCCCTCCCTCTCTTCCTCCCTCACATGCCCCCCACCATCACCCTCTCATCCCACTCCCCCACACACTCCACAGGGAGGGTGATGCCTTCTAGGAGGGGTCAACAAAATCTGTCAAGTCATTTGCAACAGGGATAAGGCCCTCCCTCCTGCCTCTAGGTTGAGAGAGTATCCCTCCATGGGGAATGTGCTCCCAAAGTCCTTTTGTGCACCAGGGATACATCCTAGTTCCACTGTCAGAGGTCCCTTAGACTGCCCAGGCCTTCTAACTGGGACCCATGTTCAGAGGGTCTGAATCAGTCCAATGCTGGTTTCCTATCTATCAGTCTGAGAGCCCATGAGCTCCCCCATGTTCAGGTCAGCTGTCTCTGTGGATTTCTGTAGCCTGGTCTTGGCTCCCCTCTCTGCATCTGGATTCCAGTTCAGCTCAGTGTTTAGCTGTGGGTGTCTGCTTGTGTTTCCATCAGCTACTAGATGAGGGCTCTATGATGGTGGATAAGTTAGTCATCAATCTCATTATCAGGGAAGGGCATTTATGGTAACCTATAATTCACACTGCTAGAGAAACTAGATTACAAGTGGGAATCTAAGAGATTCATACAAGGTCCCTCACAGAAGGGGAAAGGGACAAGACCTCCTGGGTATGTTGGGAGTAAGGGGAGGGGAGTTTACTTCTTTTTGTTCGTTAGGTTTTATTACAAAGTAGATGTACACAGTGATTATAGCTTTTATAAGAAGCCAGGTACTACTGTTTTGTGCTAGAATAAAAAAAAAAAAACAATTTTATGCACTTTTTCGAAAAAGTCTATTATATTCTATGCAGGATTCAAA